CGGGAAACCGTTTGGCTTCTCGAACGGGTCCCCGCAGACGGCGCCAAAATGATGGGACAAAGATCCCGGCTCCCTCGACTCGGACGGCCACCGTACCTGCAAGAACCCAAAGCCAAGGACCCCGGGAGGGGTGCCCGACTTTGGGCCTCCGATGCTTAAGTCAGTACATGATTCATATGAGAGTGCATATAGAGAGGGAGAGTAGAGAGATAAAGTGTGGTAAGGGAATGAGTAGAGAATGTAGGAAATGAGTACCTTAGTCCCCTTTTATAGAGAGAGTGTACCTTATAGTCCCAATTGGGCTTGGCCTAAGTTGGGCTCGGCCCATATTATTATATCAAGTGTCTTAGCCCATGTATGGGCGTATCTTCAATATATACCCATAAAAATCGGTCGGTTATGACATGTTATATCAAATACTACCGGTCGAGCCGACAATACTAGTTGTGGCTATATCACAAATATATTTATCCTTTCTATAAAAACAACTTCTTGTACCAAAGTTGCTTACGTAATACACAATGCTATATACGATACACAATGAACCAAAAAACGACGTATTGCACTATACACATTTTAAAACACGTATCACACTGCAAAATTTAAATTTAGAGTTAGTTTGCTTTGCAACACTCCAATAAGATTACCCTATTAATTCTAGGATATCTTTTGTTTGGTAGCCATAACAGAGACCCTCAAGATAAAATTCGGCATGGGATAAAAGTTTATAGTCATGTATATGCAAGCCTAATTAATCTCGTCGCCTGCTGGATGTGGTGTGATACTTTTGATCCGCATAATAACGTAATCATGAAATGTTGATTTCTCCACAAATTTCCTTAACCTAATTCCCAAATTCTTTTAGCATGGTATATGTTGGCCGACAAAATTGGAGGCAGAACAACCACGAGAAAATCTACCAACAATGGCGACGAAGCGGTAAATCTTCCGTGATTGTGCTTGATGATGGATAGATCCACTTCGAGACCAATGAGCTCGATAAACTCATAGTTGTCAATGTCGGGCATGTGTTGTTACTTATCACCAACTCGAATCTATTTTTTTTCGTTATAATCTTCAAGGGAATCCTTGAAGAGGGGTGTTAAACAAAACGAGTCGCTCGTGAGCTCGGCTTGGCTCATTTTGATGTGTTGATTTGTCATAGATCGGGTTAAATCGATCGATCTTTGAACGTTCTTCTGCTCTGAGCTCTGGTGACTTGCAATACGACGGGAGGGGTCCTGCAGAAAAACCTACGATACTCAAGTCAGAAGTTGCTCGAGAGAATAAACTGATAAAGTGTATGCTTATTGCGTAAATATGCGATATATATTAACATAGAACTTGGTTACCTTTATATAGAGGGATGCCTTGATGCACAAGAGAATCCTAGTTAGAAAAGAGACTCAAGCATATCTTCTTTTCTAACTTACCACGTTCCTGTCCTGACAATAAATTGTTGTACTAAGTAGCTCGGTGTGTTCTCTGTTTTTCCTGTTTATTCTAGATTGATGCTAATGAAGCTGGGTAGTTGGATTTGGGTGAATAAAATAATAAGTTAAATAATATGACTAGGATTACATATAGGAGTTGGAAACTGAAAATAAAAGGAAAAATTAAGCACTTTATTTGGAGATAATTCTCTTGTATTTTGCCTACTTGCAACAACTTAGAGAAAAAAAAAAAAGGGTCTGGATATGACCCCATTTGTAAAATCTGTAGGGAGAAAGTTAAAACTATTATACATATTTTCTTATGTAGACCTCAAAGGTCTTAAGGCATCCTAAAGGGGTGGTCCAGTAACAGACAACAAAAGTCGTCTTTGTATACTACCTGATATGAAATAACCACATCGGGCCGACTAAACCAGAGAAGCAGCCAAATTGAATTGGGTCAGACATCAGGTCGAACGGAGAATGACGACTCCACAAGTCGAAGGATCTTCATGTCGAAGAGGACACCAGTTACACGAATAAAACCAACAGGTCGAATGAGGGCCTTCAGAGAGCATCTGATCGATGGATCGACCAGAGGGGCACAACAGCAGGACTCGAAATTGGTGGCACTCCACCTCGAGATAATCGGGGTCAGTCATACGGTTAGACCGTCTAATGAGGAAGACTAAAGTATAAGAACGAATATTCTTGGGATTAAACCCCCACGTGGATATGTCCATGTGGCTTACTAGAATTGGATATCTGGGCAGCTAGAGTAGTACGAATAGGCAATTTGGGCAGCCCACATGAGTAGGCTTGGACAACAAGGTATCACCTCCCTATATAAGGAAGCGAGACATGCCTTGAACTATATTCTACTCTCTACATACTTTACATACTGCACTTCATTTTCTACAATTGCTAACTTAAGCATCGAATGTGCTTCACAAGGAAACAACTCCGGTATGAGAATTTTGCTGGTCAAAAGGCGTTCAACCGGCGAAAGAGCTCCGGAATATGCCGATTATAGTCGGTCGGAGGTCTTTACGATACCTCCTTGGACATATACATACTGGCATATACAATGTGATGGGCTGACATATATGCAGATTGACATATACAATGGGATGGGTCGCACCTGGATATAGACTTTTTCAAAACTAGTGGAGTAAAATATGTTTCTTGGACAAATTCCTTACTTCATGGACCACATCCAACTTACCACCTATATCTTTTGGTAGTCGTGGAAGGCAACAAACCTCTAAATTTTTTAATAATGTCACCGATTAAAGAAAACTATGATGGATGTAGCTTTGAGATACTCATGGGATTTGTATAGGAGTTGATTGTTCTTTTGTTGTTCATTGGCTTTGGTTTTTCTTTTTTCTCTATTTATGACCTCTTTGGTTTCTTTTAGTGTTCTGTTGTCGTCGAAAAGTCAGCTATAAATTTCAATTCTTGGTACTTCATAGGCGGTGATTTCTCAACCTCTTGGGTTAACCATGTTTGTGTTAGTTGTTTCGTCCTAAACCGATTGTGTGTGGCTCTCTAGTGAAACGTTTGTGTATAAACCAAGGCTAGTTATTATAAGTCTTCTGAGTTAATATAATCTATTGTTTGGGGAAAAAAAAAA